AAGAATTGATGCCTTTGAGTTATGGTGTTGGAGGAGAATATTGAAAGTGCCATGGGCTGCCAAAAGAACCAATAGATCTGTGTTGGAAGAAGTGCAGTCAGAGTGCTCCTTGGAGGCCAGGATGACCCAACTTCATCTCTCATACTTGGGACATATTGTTTGCAGGGACCAGTCACTGGAGAAGGATATCATGTTTGGTAAGGTGGAGGGTCAGAGAAAAAGATGAAGACCCCCAACGAGATGGATTGGCCAAGTGGCAGCATCAGTGGACTCAAGCGTGGCAACAGTAGTGATGTTGACCCAGGGTGGGGCTGTGTTTCGTTCTGCTGTGCATAGGGTTGCTATGAGTTGGAACCAACTCGATGGCACCTAACAACAACAACAACATAGTTAATTAACTGTACTGAATGTGGACACCATTCTGTGGGCCTCATGGGGAGTCCTTATGATCAGGTGACTGAGGAAGGGAAAACTCGTGCTTATTTAGCAATGGTTCTGAACCATCTGCAGGCACCACTCAGAAGTGGACAGCAGGAGAACTGAAGGCCCTTTCTAGGACTGCCCTGAAGGACAGTGCTGAAGGGACGTCCTCCTGATGGGCAGAACTTCAAGCAGTGCATCTGACTGGTCATTTTGAAGGAGAAATAGACTGATTCCTGGGCTGTGACCAATGGTTTGGCTGGGTGGTCAGGGACTTGGAAGGAACCTGACTGGAATATTGGTGACAGGGAGGTGTGGGGAAGCAGTCTGTGCACAGAGCTCTCTGAATGGGCCATGGGTAAAGATATATGTGTCTCATGTGAACATGTACCAGAGGGTGACCTCGGCAGGGGAGGATTTAACAACCAAGTGGACAGGGTGACGGTGACTCTCTTTCAGGTCACTCCTGCCATTGTCCAGTGGGCTCGTGAACAGCGAGGCCTTGGTGGCAGGGGTGGAACTTCTACCTGAGCTCATCCACTCACCAAGGCTGATTTCTGAGTGTACTAAATGTGGGTGCCATCCTGTGCTTACAGCTCCCAGAATTCCTCCCGAGAAGAGAGTTTTTACAACCACGCACACGCCCAACTGCTTGTTCCAGGCCGTGGACGGAAGGTAAACTCCTGGTGCCCGCTTGTCTCAGGGTCAGCGTACTGCTCGGTTCCTCCCGCCCCCACGGGTACCCAGTGTGTCCTCCTCATTCCAGTAGTTGCTTAGTAACAACTAGGGAAAGCTCCGAATTGTCGTGTTTCCAACTTTGAAGCCATTTAGATAGAGCTGAGGCTGCATGGTGACATCTCTTACGTGACAGTTATATAAGACTGCCATGTGTTCAGCTATACCAAGGGCTTCCAGAAGTTCACGGGAATATTCCATTATTGTTCCAGTCCATTTTTCCCTGAAATTTTTGAAGCCCCCTCGTATTTTCTAGTTGTTGTCATGTGGCTCATGGTGCCCCATGTGTGTCTGAGTAAAACTGTGCTCTGTGAGGGTTTCAGTGGCTGGTGTTTCAGGAAGTAGATTGCCAGACCTTTCCTCTGAGGTACGTCTGGGAGGACTCCAACCTCCAACCTTTCAGTTCGCAACCTACTTTGTGAACCACTTGTGACACCAGGGACTCCGTTTAATTGTATAAAAACAAACAAACTACATCTATCAAGTCAATTCCAACTCACATGAGTGCTTATAGGGTTTCTGAGCCTGTAAATCTTTACAGTCGTGGGTTTGAACCAGTGACCTTGTAGTTAGCAGCCCATCACCTAACCCACAGAACTGGGATCCTTGTGGGCCACTGAGAACTCACTTTCCAACTTAGTGGACCAGCTGGCCATTTCACGACAATTCTGATTCCCACGGTTTGTTCCATAGGAAACTGAAGTCTGTCTTTCTCACAGTGACTAAGATGTTGCTTAGAGCTCCTGGAGGGTGCAAACAATTCACGCACTCAGCTGTGAGCCAAACAGTTGGAAGTTTAAGGCCAGAGACACCTCAGAATATAGGCCTGCGTATCTAATTCCAATGAATCAGCCCCTGAGAATCCTGTGGGCATAGTTCTGCTCTGACACACATGGGGCACCATGAGTGGAATCTACTTATGAAAATCATCCACTGAGAACCCTGTGGAGCACAGTTCTACTCTGACACACACGGGCACCATGAGTGGCATCTACTTATGAAAAATCATCCACTGAGAACTCTGTGGGCACAGTTCTACTTTGACACACACGGGGACACCATGAGTGGCATCTACTTATAAAAAATCATCCATTGAGAACCCTGTGGGCACAGTTCTACTCTGACACACACGGGGTACCATGAGTGGAATCTACTTATGAAACATCACCCACTGAGAACCCTGTGGAGCACAGTTCTACTCTGACACACATGGGGCACCATGAGTGGGATCTACTTATGAAAACTCATCAACTGAGAGCCCTGTGGGCACAGTTCTACTCTGACACACACACGGGACACCATGAGTGGGATCTACTTATGAAAAATCATCCACTGAGAACCCTGTTGGGCACAGTTCTACTCATGAGTGGGATCTACTTATGAAAAATCATCCACTGAGAACCCTGTGGAGCACAGTTCTACTCTGACACACATGGGGCACCATGAGTGGGATCTATTTATGAAAAATCATTCACTGAGAACCCTGTGGGCACAGTTCTCCTCTGACACACACAGGGGCACCATGAGTAGAATCTACTTATGAACCATCATCCACTGAGAACCCTGTGGGGCACAGTTCTACTCTGACACACACGGGGCACCATGAGTGGAATCTACTTATGAAAACTCATCCATTGAGAACCCTGTGGACACAGTTCTACTCTGACACACACTGGGCACCACAAGGTGGACTTGTTGGCATGCATTTGTTGGTTAAGACAGAGCTGCACGTTCCCAGGCTGTGCCCATGGGCCCTGCGGTGTAGATGGCTGACATGGGACCCGGCCCACAGTTCCTGGGTCAGATGTCGGGGAGCACAGCCTCTCACGGTTGATGCCCCTGTCTGTTTGCCTGCAGGGTGGTCCCCCTCCTGGGATACCTGCCCCAGGACCTGGAGGAGAGTCCAGTGCTCCTACAGCTACACCCGAGCGACCGGCCACTGATGCTGGCCATCCACAGAAAGAGTAGGTACCCACGACGAGCTACCACCACTGACCACTGAGCACCTTGTGTCTGTGGGCGGGCAGGGAGGGAGACGGCATGTACCCAGGTCAGCTCTGGGCTAGGTGGGGAGTGGACAGCATGACCTCACAGACAAAGAGTACATGAGGGGTACTTCATCATGAAGTCAAGATTCAGAGCGAGGCCTCAGGGAGTCGTTCACTAGCGGAGACCGGGGTGCAGAGTTTCAGGTTTGTGGGGTCTCGGTGCTGAGGGTCGTTCCCACTCTCAGTCCTGCAGTCTGGCGGGCAGCCTTTCGACTACTCGCCCATCCGTTTCCGCGCCCGGAACGGCGAGTACATCACACTGGACACCAGCTGGTCCAGCTTCATCAACCCCTGGAGCCGGAAGGTCTCCTTCATCATCGGAAGACACAAAGTCAGGGTGTGAGTGTGCCGAGGGTCGAAGGCGGGATGTGGGATGGAGGGGTGACCCCTCTCACCAGAGGAAGGGATCTAAAGCCCCCTGGTGGGGATGGGAGTGGCAGCCCAGGGTGGGGGCTGCAGGCAGCAGGCCATCCCCAGATGCCTGATGGAGTACTGATCCCCTTCAGGGGCCCCTTGAACGAAGACGTGTTTGCAGCCCCAGCGAGTGTGGAGGAGAAGGCCCTGCACCCCAGCATCCAGGAGCTCACTGAACAGATCTACCAACTGCTGCTGCAGGTGAGGGGGCCCCAGACCACCGCCCTGCCAATCAGCTTCCCTCAGATACCCCTTGTTGATCTGTACCATCCCCGTGTGCCCGGTTCTGGGGAGCCCAGCCCCACACATTTAAGGTATCTTTACCAGAGCCACAGTCCTGTGTGAATGAAGGGGTTCCATCCAGCCCCATCCATGGAGCTTGGCCGTAGAGAGCAGGCTGTGGGCACTCTGAGCAGCTTGGGAAGCGTGTGTGGGAACTTCAGAAAGGTCCTGGACAAACTCGCTCATCTTTTCATTCTATCTTCCCGTGGACTTTTTGAAGCCCCCTCGTAGCTCTCGGGGAAACCCGTGCTCCGTGGCTTTCTGCCTCTAGCTGGCTGCATCCTGGTCTCCTGAAAGCCCTGGGTTGAGCCCTGAGGGGCCCTGGCACTACAGGGTCGGGACAGCAGCCTAACTCTGGAACTCAGGCCCCAGCACCCCTCCGCCTCGCTGTGGGTGTATGGACACAGCTCATGGCTGATGCACCCCATCCCTCGCATCCCACACAGCACTCACGTGCCTCCCACTCTTCCCACAGCCCGTGCCCCACAGCGGCTCCAGCGGTTACGGCAGCCTGGGCAGCAATGGGTCGCAGGAGCACCTCATGAGCCAGACTTCCTCCAGTGATAGCAATGGCCGCGAGGATGCCCACCAGAGGAGGCCTGTACGTCCCCGACGTCCCCACCCTTCCTGGGGAGCCAGACTAGGGAAACATGCCAGAAAGCCACCAAGGTCCTCATCCCTCCCTGCTGCCCTGGTTACTCCCAACAGTCCTCACTGGGCACTCGATTCTTAACTCTCCGAGCAACGGTCCTGAAAGGATGACAATTCTGTAAAACAGAGAAATCAGGCAAAAGGGGAGACTTGGACTGTGGGAGAGAAGAAGACCATTTTACAGTGGTATCTGTTGTTGAGACATACACAGCAGAACAGAGCAATTCAGCTGTTTCTGCACGTCCAGCTCAGTGACGTGGACGCCACTCTGGGAGTTGCTCAGACATTCCCACCCTGCTCTTCCAAGTTGCCCATCCCCCATGAATATAACCTCACTGCCCCTCCCCACCCCACCCAACCCCTGGGCCAGACTTTCTCTCTGACCTGTCAAATCAGTGTTGTCAGTTTGATCTCATGGGGGGAGTTCCTCAAAGAGCACAATGCTCCAGGTGAGCTGTCATTACTAATTCAAAGCTGAACTAGTGTTTAGTTGAAAGATGGCTAAGGGGGTATTCTTGGTTTAAGATTTAAAGAAGAACTTAAGGCTATCATTTCACAGGTTCATCCAGCCTCCGTGGCTCCAGAAAGTCTGGATTCCATGAGAATTAGAAATTCCATTTTACATTTCTACCTTACTTCGATCCTGCTGAAAGGAAAAATCCAGCCTGTCAGTTTGTTGAGGGTGTTTGAGGGTCCTCTTGCATTCCTCTTTCTGTCCTACAGTTAACTTGCTACCCAGAATTCACTTTTCTATCACCACCGCTGGCTCAGCTGTCCTCCGAGAAGGATTAGTATGTAGAGGGATGTTCGGGGTGACTGATACGCTTGTTTTGTTTTTCTTCAAGGAAATTTGTAAAAATGGTAACAAGACCAAAACCAAAAGTCACTATTCTTACAAATCCGGAGAACTAAAGAAAAAACCTGCGAGAGGTAAAAGAGCTTTTAGTGTGGGGAAGGGGGTTTGGGTTCGGTTTTAACTCTGTGTGCCAGAGAATTGACCTACTGGTTTCCTTTAACCGTATGTTCTATTTCCCATCCTTGTTCATGAGTCTTCTGTGAAAACGCCAGCTTAGCCTGGGTATTCGTTTCGTCCACAAACCACACCCTTGCTGGTGAGGGGGTTCCGATTCATGGAGACCCCATGATCTACACAGCAGGCTGCTCCATGGGGTTTTCTGGGCCTAATTGTAGCAGAGGAGTCCCTGAGTGGTACAAATAGGTAAACACTTAACTACTAACCAAAAGTTAGTGGTTCAAACCCACTCACAGGCACTTTACTGCCATGAAAATGGTATGGAGCACAGGTCTCCTCTGCCCACATGGGTCACCAGAAGTCGGAACTGACTTGAAGGCAACTGAGAACCCCATGGAGCACAGCTCTACTCTGACCACACGGGGGCGCCATGAATGGAATCTACTTATGAAAAATCATCCACTGAGAACCCTGTGGGGTACAGTTCTACTCTGACACACACATGGGACACCTTGAGTGGGATCTACTTATGAAAACTCATC